ATGAATACTGGTATAGTATTAAATCCTTTGGTTCGTATCTTTTTATGCAAATTTTCTCTTGTTAAGTCTAAATCTTAATCAGAATTTTAGGCACTCATCAACACCCTTAAATAAAAAATAAAAAATAAAAATAAAAAACCCTCTCAATCCTTTCTTCTTTTCGAAGGCCAAACAGGTATATTCTTTTGTTACTCCCTTTGTTATAGCATTTGTTTTCTTTCAAGTTCCTTCAGCCCATCAGACCCACGCACCATTTCGTAAAGATTGATAAATTCATGGCAAAAATGTGATATAAGGACCCAAACTTGCACAAAATTCACAATTTCAGACTCAAACTTCAATTATACTCAATTAAGGTCTCAAATTACATGAAATTCTCAAATAAAGTTCCAATTGGATGGAATATTTTCCTGATGGATGAAATATTCTCTTACAAGGCAAATATCTTGATGCCAGTTAACAATTTGTCACTCTCTCAACCAATTGGATTGCCATATGAAAAAACATGTTGACTTGTCATTACTATGCTGATGTCACGTAAATGCCACGTAGATGCCACGTATGGGTCCTAGTTGATTCTGAGGGAAATCAAGCTAAGGAGAATCCATCTGGCACCACGTGGTATCCACATGGCAATGACAAATCAACATGTTTTCCATGTTGGCAATCCGGTTGGCTAAATAGTTAACGGCATCCAAGACATTTGACGACAAGAAAGTATTCCATCCAATTGGGACCTTATTTAAGAATTTCATATAGTTTGGGACTTAATTAAGTGCAATTGAAGTTTAGGTCTAAAATTGAGAATTTTGTACAAGTTTAGGACCTTAATTGAGTGCAATTGAAGCTTAGATCCAAAATTGAGAATTTTGTACAAGTTCAGGACCTTTTTCCATATGTTTGCCTAAACTTATTCTTAAAATCAGCACAAAAATTTCCTTACATAATCAGAACATGATGTGGCACGTTAACTTTAAAAAATTCATCATTTCATAAAATAGAAAACTGTTACTCATACATGATTCATTTATTAATTAGTTATAAGTAAAATTTGTTACTCATGAGCAAAGAAAATAAATTTTATTAGAATCAGTAGAGATTCAAGTTTTATAGGATGAACTGTATATTAAAAATACAGTTTGTCCTATGAAATTACTTAATTATTTTCGTTGAAATAGTATAAAAAATAATTTTATTAAAAATATTTAAGTAAATTTATAAAGGATAACGATAGGTTTACCCTCATTATCCACACACTTTGTTATACCATTCAATTTCCGTTACTTTCGTTAATTACACCTTAACTCCGTTACCATCTTTCCTTTCTCCTCCTTGCTGTTCATTGTCCTCACCAACCAGACCAAAACCTACAATTTCATCTTGGTTCTTTGATTTTCAACCTTCTTTTCCCTCCTCCTCCTTTCTTTTTCTTCTTCTTTCCCTCTTCTCCCCTCTTTTTCCTTCTCCCAAATCTATGTTCTCCAAGAGAACCCCATGGGTTCTTGGAAAGAACCCAAATTTGGGTTCTCCTGGAGAAGGATGATGGAGGAGAGAGAGAGAGAGAGAGAGAAAGAGAGAAAAAAAAAAGAGGAAGAAAGAAAGAGGAAAAAGATAATGGATGAAGAGGATGAGG